ATTACAATTACTACTTTTTGTAGTAAATAATTATTACATTACTACATTCACGATTTGAATTACGACGCCAATCACTAATTGCCTGATACTTTTCCAAGTTTAACTCCAGTTCCCGAATTCGATAATTAGATTCAAGTATAGTATGATAGTTGATTTGAATTGGAATGTATCATAAAAGTTAGATTCAGGATATAGCAAATAATTAGATTCGGGATATAGCATAATATAGTAGTTTAGATTTAGATTTAGGCATAGACGCAATAGCAGATAGTTAGATTCAAGACGTAACATAATATTTAGATTTAGGTATAGCTGCGATAGTTAAATTCGGTATTGCATTTGGGACTAACATGGTACAGTAGTTAGATTCAGGCATAGTGGATAGTTAGATTCAGTTACAGTACGATAGTTAGATTCAGGTGTAGCATGATAGATTCGACACATAATATGATAGTTATAGTTAGATTTGGGTATAGCACGATAGTTAGATTCGGTATGTCATGGTCAGTATAGCACAATAGTTAGATTTGGGATATAGCGCAATAGAGTTTATAGTTAGATTCAAGACGTAACATAATAATTAGATTTAGGTATAGCTGCGATAGTTAAATTCGGTATTGCATTTGGGACTAACATGGTAGTTAGATTCAGGCATAGTACGATAGCTAGATTCAGTTATAGCATAGTAGTTATAATACTATAGTTAGATTCAGGTGTAGCATAATTAGTGATGTGAGTTGGTAGCTATCTACCACTGGTAACTACCGGTAGCTACCGTGAGATTAATGTATAAAGCGGTAGATGGTAGGTAGATGGTTAGCAGTTTATTAAATCTGATTGGTTGATTACGGCTTGCACTATATATATAGGTAGAAGAATTAGCTAATTAGAATGAAAGTCTGCTTTACTACCGGTAGTGGTAGCTACCACCTACCGGTATATACCGGTAGAGAAATTGTGATTTGGAAGAATTCACATCACTAAGCATAATAGATTCGATACATAATATGATAGTTAGATTTGGGTATAGCACAATAGTTAGATTCGGTATTTAATGATAGTTAGAGTCAGTATGGCATATTAATTAGATTTGGGATATAGCACAATAGAGTTTTAGCATGATAGTTAAATTCAGGATTTACAATAGCGCTATAGATTCAAAATATAGTATGTAGTTAAATTCAGGACATAGCATGATAATTAGATTCAAGTATAGTATGATAGTTTGAATTGGAATATATCATGAAAGTTAGATTCAGGATATAGCAAATAGTTAGATTCGGGACATAGCATAATATAGTAGTTTAGATTTAGGCATAGGTGCAATAGTTAGATTCAAGACGTAATATAATAATTAGATTTAGGTATAGCTGCGATAGTTAAATTCAGTATTGCATTTGGGACTAACATAGTAGTTAGATTCAGGCATAGCACGATAGTTAGATTCGGTTATAGCAAAGTATATACAGTAGTTAGATTCAGGATGTAGTATGATAGTTATATTTGGAACATAATATGATAGATTCGACACATAACATAATAGTTAGATTTAATAGCACAATAGTTAGATTTGGGATATAGCATAATAGTTAAATTCAGGACTTACAGTACGTAGCACGATAGATTCAGAATATAGCTTGTAAATTCGGAATATAGCACAAGTTAAATTCAGATATAGCAGATTCAAGTATAGCACGATAGTTGATTTGAATTTGATGAAAGTTAGCAAATAGTTAGGTTCGGGACATAGCATAATACAGTATATAATTAGATTTAGATTCAAGATGTAACATAATGATTAAATTTAGGTATAGACAATAATTAAATTCGGTATAGCATTTGGGACGTAGCATGATAATTAGACTCAGGCATAGCACGATAGTTAGATTTGGTTATAGTTAGATTCAGGATATAGTACAATAGTTAGATTTGGGATGTAATATGATAGTTAGATTCAGGTGTAGCATGATAAATTCAACACAAAATATGATAATTAGATTTGGGTATAGTATGATAGTTAGATTCGGGATATAGCAAGGTAATTAGAGGATATACTATAGTATTATAATTAGATTCGGGTATAGTATGATAGATTTGGAACGTAGCATTATATTTATAGTAGTTAGATTTGTATTTTTTGTATTTTCTTAATTTTTTTTTGTATTTTCTTATTTTTTTTTGTATTTTTTTATTATTATTTTTTAATAAAAATTTTTTATTGGCTTTGAACTAATTTTAAAGTAGTTATATAATATATTATATACAATTAAATTTATTCTTTATTAAAAATATATTAAATATCTAAATTTATTGCTATAGTAATAATTATATATATATTAATTTAATTTAAAATTTGCCACTCCGGACTTGCACCGGTTTCCGATTCCTAGTTATATAATAATTTATGTAATTGTATATATTGTTTTTCATCTAACCAAGTTGCCAAAATTCGTTACCAATTAATTAATTAATTATACTATTAAAACCCAATTTTTTAATTATTAAAAAAATATTGAAATTTCGATTAATTTGATTGGCCAATTATATCACGTTTTGATCGACATAAATCAGAAAATAATAAAATCGTAGTTGTGAAAATTTTACTATAACTATTCATCCGTTCTCTAAGTAAATTTAAAATTCTGGGACAACATTGAATCCATAGTTGAGGGATTGTCAATTTCCCTTTATATATCTGATTGAAGTAGTGCTTACATCGATATAACGATAATAAACGTTTTAATAGTACATACTATCTAAAGTACAATAAATGATACCCCAATATTTAGATCAATAATAAGAATAATAAAGTGCCGTGTATACTAATACAGTGTTTTTTTAAAAAAATATATATAATATATAAATATATATAATAATTAATCTACATATTTAATCTAATTGATACGTAACCCTTTTTTTATTGCCCAGATGAATACTAACTGTATTTTACCAGAACTTGAATTCCATTAAGAATTAATATCAAGATATAGGCGAATTATTAATGGAAAAATGCATGAATGGACCTGATGAACAAAATTGATGGAGGGATTCTGTTTTTTAAGAATGGTAAGAATGTAAAAAGAACAATTTTCGTATCTACAAAAATATAAACAATTTACAAGAAAGTGTTGATACTTTTTAGACATTAGTAGAAATCCCTCTTAGAGGTTTCTCCGGATATTCTCTGGAATATCTATCCTCAAAAGATGAAGAGCCAGAGGATTGATTTTTTAGTTGCGTATGTTTGATTTTTTCATCAAGTTCATCACGATATCGATACACAACAGCGGCAAAGTAGAACTATTAAATAAAAAAATAAGTGAGTAAAATTAAGATTTAAAGTTATCGGTAAAGCAGGCGTGAAAATACAAACCGTGAGTATAATCGCAATTGCGGTGAAAACAATGAAGAAAGCGAGATACCACTTAACAGCAGTTTCACAAACTTGTTTATCATTGTCAGTAGCTGTAACTGTAGTTGTGGTGTTAGAAGAATCGGCTTGTCGTTTATCAAATGGTTTCAGCCAATGTTGTTCAGGATTCCACGAATCACTTGAAGAGGCTTTACTAAGACACAAGTTCACCAGATTTTCACGGTTCTTAATACCTACAATCGCGAGTCCAATACCAAATACCAAGTGAATCATTGCGGTCACGCTAATAATAACAGCGAAAAGATGGACCATATTCCTATTTTGCTATCGAACACACGATACAAAATGTCAAGATTTAGTTAGGAAAAAAATGAAAATTTGAACCGAATGAAATCAAAATTACCGCGATTGCTCCATATAAACCTCCGAGACAAACAACCCCTTTAATAATATGCCAGACTCCATTGATATAACCGAGACTTGTGGTGAATGCCGTAGAGTCTGAGAAAGTTAATAATTAGGGTTTAAGGGGAATGCTTGACAAGTCATGTGACCACAAGACAACAACTTACTTACTATCAATATATGCAAAAGAACTATACGCTCCAAGAAGACTTGTAGCCTAACAACACGAAAATTATTAACGAGGTCACATAGACTAACAAGAAGATAAAGACTTTATCCAAGACGCTTACTAGAACGATAAGACTTATAAAAATTGTTCCAAAACGTAGGTTGATGCTAAACGTTTTAATGATAGATACCAACGAGAAAAATCAAAGATAAATATGAAACATATTTGTATTAATATTTACAATGATATTTAATAATGATATCGAACATACCAACAGCAACACTTCTGGACCATATTTAACGTAGTTCAAAATGTAAACAATGATTTTAGAAACCAGAAATCTTGTACACGTCAAATCGATAGGTCCAAAAGGTTAAAAATTTATTATCGCAAAGTGAAAAAAAAAAGTAAAGTTGTTAAAAGAGACATGAAAATTACGCCTAATTCGTTTGTAAAGCGGCATCCTCCAATTTCTTTTAATCCGATTCCATATTTTTTTTAAAAACGTAAGCATGGCTGAGTAAAGTTGCTTAGCAATTATATTTTATTGCATACAATGCATACACATGTATTTTTTTTGATCCACAATGTCGATATCGATATTACGATTCCATCGAAGTATATGTGTTCGTTAGTGTGGCTGTACGTGTTACGTAAAAGATATGACGATTTAATTAGTGCACTACGCCATAAAAACTAAGACACGATTCAAATTCCCTTCATTGCCTTGTATTCTACTAAACAAGCTAAAAGCTGGTTTGACTATGATGATTGTTACAAGTTCTAAACTTGATGAACAGGACAAGCCTTATTTATGCAAAAAAAAAAGAGATGTAGCGTTAAATTGCCAAATATTAAATACTTTACGAAATGACTTGAAGGATATATTGAAGCCTACATAAGCCCACTATTTGTTAGTAATGCACAAAAATCTGTAAAGTTGATCACAGATGCGAGATATAATTGTCTTTTACACAGCCATCACTTTGCCATAAAAAAAAAAAAAAAAAGAGAGAGAAAAAACAAATTTGATCTAATCTTTGATCGAATACTCTTTCGTTGTAAAAAAAGTCGTGTGAACAATCTCAGCATGAAGATTCGATTATTAACGTAACCATCACAGAATTTTTATGTTCAGATACTGTAGTATATACAAATATGATTTATTATGATTTATGAAATAGCAAACAAGAATCAACAAGAATTTACAAATAGAAAAAAAAAAAAAAAATTTGTACATAAAAAGAAGAAAAATTAATTGTATCTTCCCCTTAAATCGTTAAAATTCCCGTTTGTGTGTCCGCAGTGATTGTCGTTAAGCGGACTCTCTATATTGAAACCATTGAGGTGGTAAATTTGGTTTGGAAACGACATCAGCGATTTCTGAAGGTAAATTATTAATAAAAGATTGTTGTTGATGTTGTTGATGTTGTAACTGTTGTATATCTAAATTGTTGGTATCTTGCCGTTGCAATAACTGTTGATAAGGAGACGCAAGTGAAGCTTGATAATTTTGCCATTCATTTTGAACTACAGATTGAATTAGCTTATAAAGATATAGTGAAAAAAAAGCGATTCAGTCAGTGAATTTTCTGCATAAGAATTACTGCAATACAGACACAGATTTAACACACTACATTAGGAGGAGTGATCACTGCTTTAGTAAACTTTATGCGAATGAGAAAGTACAAAATCCAAATATTTACATAAACTAAGAGCACAAAAATTTAATGGAAATGCCAACAAAAACATATTATGTATATGTATAAGTATTCATACCTTATGTTGCTCTTCCCATCCTTCTTCGTCACTAACATCCATAACATTTTCTAATCCTCTACGTTTTTGAAAGGCCTTAAAGCGTTCTTCTTTAAACAATTTTTTGATAACATTTTCTCTAAAGTCCTGAGAAAATAATAATATTATCAAATTCAGAAATTTACTATAGACTAATAGATACAAGGAGAAAAAAATTGGAGAAAAAAAGTTAACCTGCATCCACATATCGGTATTGAATTTCATGACTGGTTGGTGGTGAGCACGTTTTGGAGGAGGTGAATGATGTTTTCCACGATGAATGTATGAATTATTTTTGCCATATTCTATCTTGTCATTTAAACTTTTAGAACGACGTCTATAAGTATTGGTCTTTGGAGAATGGATGTATTCATGATTATAAAATTCCATTTTTTAAGTTCGATTGATAAACAGGTGAATAGCAAATCTAGAACTTGTATTTATTATATTAATAAATTTTACTTGTGCATCAGATGATTCTTTATGGTGACATCATGAGAACAAATTATTCTCCATCGCTATAAATTAGGCACTCAATGTGATACGAGATATAATCATAATAATCCTTGAGAATAACAAACATATACGTAAAACTTTGCTTTTAATAGATAGTCCACATGATAACTATTAAGTGCATATCTCTCGAAAAATCCGGAATATGCGTTAACAATTAACCAAATTCAGAGATCGTTTGCCTTACGAAATTCCCCGATGATCGATGATAATCGGATATAATATTCTAAACGAAGTCTTTTTAAAACTTCTACGTAGCGAATGTTTCTCAATATCTGCTTGATTAAATTTGGTAAGTTTTTTTTTATTTTAATTCTGTGCTTTTGTAGAATTAAAAAAAAAAAAAATTTATTTAATTCGGTTTAGTGATCATAGAGAAATTTTGGGTAAAAGTTTAAAAAAGATTCGAATATCGTGAATATTTCTATGATTTCTCGACATTCAACTATCAAAACAATGAAATTTTTTTTAATTTATTCTTGAGTTCACAGAATTAAAGTAAAAAAATTTTCGTCGAATTTGGATAGTTGTTGCCGAGAAATATTTATTAGAATTTTAAAAAAAATTTAGCCCCAGAACACTAAATTCGATCAAAATTTTTTCTAATTCTATAAATCTATAAAATTAAAAATAAAATATTTGATCAGATTTGGTTAGGTAAATGTTGAGTAGCCTTCGTTCGAAGTTTAAGCATTATAAAAGAAAAAGCTGCGACCAAACTTGAACTTCTAATGAATATTTCTTGGCAACTAACTATATAAATTCGATGAAGTTTTCTTTTATTTTAATTCTGTGAACTCTCAGAATTAAAATAAAAAATTCATTGTTTTATTAGTTTAATGTCGAGAAATCTTCATTTAAAGTTTAAAAAAAGAAAAATTCACCTGACTTTAGCTTTAATTCTACAAAAGCACAGAATTTAAAAAATTTACCGAATTTGATCAAGCAGATATTGAGAAACATTTGCTAGAAGTTTAAATCGGGGAATTCCGTAAGGTGCCAGGACCTCCAAATTCAGAAAATTTTGATTATCTTTATTGATTATCCATAATGTTCGTTCAGACTCTAAATAACCATGTCTGAAAACGAGAATAACGAGTTCGATGATGATCTAAGGTTCTCATATTCCATAAGTTAATATTATCCTTTATTTGTACTTATTACAGATATTCAAAAAACAGTTTATCTTCTCATGCCTTATCGGCCCTAAATGAATTTTTTTCGGAACAGCAAGAGCAACAGCTGAGATTCGAGCAATTAAAACAATATTCTTCAAATCAAACTTATTCGGATGCAGAGCATGAGGACGATAAACCCGATTTGGTAAACGAAGACAGTATTTATTTTAAGAATAATGGAGTTAATATGGATTTTTTTAAAGAAGATTGGCAGGTTCGAATTCGAAATTCCAGATTTTAGTTTTTCTCTTTCTTTTTTTAAATGTGCATAAAATATTTGTTTCGTAGTTAAGCCAGTTCTGGGTAAATTTCGTAATTTTTTATCTTGTCATTTTTATTATTATTATTATTATTATTATTATTTTGACACTATAATTTTTTTTAAGTATTCCAATGAAACAACAGATTTAATAATTCAAGAAGTTCTAGCGCACTCGAATTCGGAGAGTCGGATAGCATGTATTAGCACGCCAACAGTATTTGTTAAATTAAAAGTAAGTTACACTACACATAATCTTAATACATTTTTTGTTATTAACATGTATCTTTTTTGATTCAATTAGTCAATTACTCCACCTCTAAAACAAACGATTTATCTATTCGAATTTGATACTCGCTTCGATGTATATGGTTCCGATTTTTTTCAATATGACTATAAAACCCCTACCAAATTTCGCGATTGTTCAAACCTTCAAAATACTTTTGATTTTATTGTGGTGGATCCGCCATTCCTGAGTGAAGATTGTTTTACTAAAACCATGATTACTGTTAAGTGGCTTGGGAAGAAGGATGATTGTAAGATTTTGCTATGTACCGGTAAGAATCCATTTCTTCAATCGTGTATGTACTACTGTTATTGAGTTAGAAACCTAATTGAGATTACTTTAGGCGCTGTAATGCAAAACCTAGCTGATCGATTAATCAAGGCTCGAATGACTTCTTTCTACCCTCAACACCAAGGTGGACTAGCCAACGAATTTCGGTGCTATATCAACTATCAAAGTCAGAACATAAAATGGGAAGAAAATTAACATCATATTAAAATATAAAATGGGAAATGAATTAACATCATAGTATATATATATATATTTTTTGGCAATCTTTATTCACCTTGTAAACTATTAGTTAATCCTCCATGATATCGATATAATGATTAAGGAATTCAATTTAAAAATTGAATCTTAAAAAAAAAAAAACGCGTTCAATCATATGACAAAGCTTGTATTTATATACAGTTAGAATTATAAAAAAAAATTGTATTTAAAATTGTTCTAGAAGCAAGTTTCCATGTGAATTGGATGAATTACATATAGATAAATTTTAACATCTTAGACAAAAATGTTCATTGACCTGTCAATTGAGATTTTATATTATCTCGTTTACGAAGTTTTAAAAAATAATTTTATTCCAATGTGGAAAATAACGAGTCCACAGAATTTTTCAAGAAATAATGACATCCGCATTATTACCCATGAATATTTCATATATTCTTTTAGATAAGGCTCTGTTGACATATCTATTTCGCTGTCCTAGACCGTTATTCGGAATCTGTATAATCAATTTTATTTAGAGTACAAGTTAACATTAATCCTAGTTTTATTTTAGTAATTTTAATAAAATATCGTTCAACCTCAACTTCAGTCAACAAATTTTCTGCTTCTTCTTGAGTACTACATCCATTATACGCATCATATAATGACTTGATAGTTGAATGTTTATTTAGAATTCCTTTTGCCACAGGTTCAGTAACATGTTGGATTTCTTGTAACATACGACACCACGTATCGCTGTGATCTACCCCTGCGCGGATTTGATTCTCAACCCAAAAGTTTAATTCACCGTTCCGATTCCTGCCATACCAATGTTCCTTTTTTAGTTATGATTTAATTAATGAGAAATACTAACACATAATAGCTTACTTGTATGGAATTGTTGCGATATCAGTTGAAAGGGTGCCTATAATCTCTGCAGTTTCCTCAGTATCCTTGGCGTGCACGATCATAACCTTGGCAATAAGTTGTAGCCAAATAAATTCTTCTTCGATTGTTTCTAAATCTGTCCCTTTATTCATTGTTGGTTTTTTTTTAAATTGAATATCATTCTCAGTGCCAGGATCTATTCCGATCCGAACAGCATTAGTGAAAGTACGATTTTGTTGTGTTTTCTTCTTGCGATAATATCCATCAAAACCTTTAATCAATAATACAAGTTTCTTATTATGAAAAATCTTCTGCAAGTTGCGGATATGTGTATGTAGCGAATCATTTTCTATAAATTGAACAAATGTTTCAATATCTAAATAATGAAATATGTAAACTTCTTCTTGAATTATTTCTGGGATTGGTACAAAAGCGCCTAATTCGTCATTCCACTCAGCTGTAACCCTTCTTCGAAACTTGATAATTCCAGTAACATTGTATTGAAACGTGTTAATTGTCATCTTTTTCGGTTCTAAACTGTCGCGTATTAAAGAACCAAGTACTCCCTCCATTAAACTATTTTCTATATCCACAATCATTTCTCGCGTCATTTCAAGCTTGTCATGCTTTAATTTGTTAACTTGCTGAAATTGTTTCTCTTTTTGTTTTTCGGCCTCCCGCTCTTCCTGTGAAAACGCGTTAATGGCGCAAATGTGCTACTAGAGAATAATATTTTAACGCGAATTCAAACATACTTTTTTACGTTGACGTTCCAATTTTTGCTCTTCTCTTCGACGTTGCTTTTGCCAGAGTAGTATTATTATTATTTTTGTTGCTCAATATATCCAATTCATAACGTATTAATTACTTACTTTTTCCAATTTTTCTGCTTCTTTCAACTGTTTAGACGCCTGCATTTTCTACTTGATCAATGTGTGTTCATTAAACAATAAACAAAATCACGTACTATATAATTACTATATATATACGTATATATATATCTGAAATTAATTTTTGAACTAATATTAATAATTGCTAGTTAAAAGACGTTTAGAATAATAATGGCACGATTAAAAAGTAATTAAAAACAGGTGATGATTATTGATCTTAAGATTTGGAGATCCAACATTTTCATTGTCATTATATATCGTACACTGGAAATGTCCCCCTGTTGATGTATGTAATTTTTTAGCTATATGATCGTCAACCTGCATAGAGATTTTATATATAATTTTACACAGTTTGCACCGGTTCACCTTCTTATTCATGATATTCTGCAATTAAAACTATG